TCGGGTTCGGGTCGTTGGTAGTTTGTTCTAAGTTGGGTCGTTGGTAGTTTGTTTCTTACTTAAGTTCGGGTCGTTGGGTTTGGGTTGTTCTATAGTTGGCTTGGGTTTGGGTTTGTTCTATAGTTGGGCTTGGGTTTGGGTTTGTTCTATAGTTGGGCTTGGGTTTGGGTTTGTTCTATAGTTGGGCTTGGATTTGTTCTATGGTTGGGCTTGGATTTGTTCTAAAGTTGGGCTTGGATTTGTTCTATAGTTGGGCTTGGGTTTGGGTTTGTTCTATAGTTGGGCTTGGGTTTGGGTTTGTTCTATAGTTGGGCTTGGGTTTGGGTTTGTTCTATAGTTGGACTTGGGTTTGTTCTATAGTTGGGCTTGGGTTTGTTCTATAGTTGGGCTTGGGTGCATCCTACAGTTGGCGTACATGTACATGTTGTATCTGTTGGCAGTATGACTTAGACAGGTGTGAAAGTAAAACCCTCCAAACGCTAAAACACTCGCCAGTTGATCAGTCACAGCCTCGTCAGTAGTACACATGAACTCATATTTAAACCCCCTCACAGCTTTTTACAACCTTGGCTCCGATTTTGTCTTAAGCTGGCTATGAATACCTTCATTAAACCAACCCTAAACCCTAAATCCTACAGCGCACGCGCAACAATATGCCCCCCCCGCGCGAAGCCGACACGGACGCAGGCACCAATCGCAACCACCCATTGAACGGCGATGTCAACGAGTCCTCGGCTGACAATGCAACTGATGAGCTGGACGATACCTTCCCCAGTGTAACCAGCCTGCAAGACGTGCTGGGTGACTTCCTGGATGACATCGAGGACGACCGAACTTCGGACAGCCATGCGAGTATGGGGATGGGCCATGGCGGGGGTATCACGGGCCTGCACTCGCGCATGGGTGATGGGATTAGTATGGGTAGTGGGGGCCTGAACAGCGGAGACGATGTGATAGTGGAGCAGTCCCAGTCCAAGTACTTCAATCGCCCGCAAAGTCCTGCACCGGTTGGGGCCAGGGACTCGATGGTGGGTCAAGGACAGCCCAGTCCTATGGAGAACCGGTCAGGTGCATCTTCCCCGTCCCCGTACCGGACATCGCCCACCCCACCACCGGGGCTTGAGGTGGTTGCCATGCCAACGTCGTGGGTATACAAAGACCCGCAGGGCAATGTGCAGGGCCCGTTTGCGACCAGGGAGATGTATCAGTGGCACACGAGTGGGTATTTCAAGCCGGACCTGAACATCTCCGAGTACCACGATACCATGTCGAGCTCTGGAAGTATCGTAGGGGCTACCAATAACTACCACTTCCTCACCCTAGCCCAATGGCTCAAGGTGTGGGGGCCACGCCAACCATTCATGCGATACGAAACCACGCCGGGTGCAAACGCACCCGCACCGGCCCCCATGTACGGAAATACGGGACAGGCGCACGAACGACACGGACAATCGATCCCGTCCAACAGCCCCCGCGAACAGCAGTACAACCGCATGGCCCAACCGCAACAGGGCCAGGGCTACGGCAGCCAGCAACAGGGGTACCAGTCACAGTCACCCTACACCCACGCACACACGCACACGCCCACGCACACACACACGCGCGCGTTACACGGCAACAATGGGCTGCACCAGAGCAGTATGGACGCGCTGAATTGGGACAAGCACCACTCGGGCAGCATACACAGCGCCATCGAACCGTACAACCCCTATAACCCGGACCAACGGACGCCTCAAGCGCAGCACGGCAGAGACGGGTCGTCGTCTCTGTACGAAAACTCGGTTTTTTCCGCGCCTATCAGTGCACAACACAGCACACACTCGGGTGTGGGGCGGGTGGAGAGTATGCCGTTCATGGCTAGAGCTAACGATCAGAGGTTTGGGTCACCGCTACAGCAGGATGTCGAACAGGTGAGTACACAGAGACAGTCACAGCCACAGCCACAATATCAACAACAACACACACAACAGCAGCAGCATCAGGCAGCGGAGAATGCGGAGGGGTACCCACGCTCGCCTATGGAACAGATCATAGGTCAGACAACACCCCCGCAACAACAAGAACAGTCAAACAGAGACGCGCCCAAGGGACAGGACCGAGCACAGGAGACGTACGGGACGAGTGGGTATGTGCACTCAGATAACATGGACGATGACGGGGAGACGGGTCAGTGGGACGAGAAGGTGCCACAGTATCAACAGGAGATGTACACGCAACAGCAACAGCAAATGCACAAGCAGCGCGAGGAGCGAGAGAGGGCGGTAGCATTACAGGCCTATCAGGAACAGCAACGAGAACCCGAGCATGCGTCTGGGGGTAGAGATAACAGCGGTAGCAGTAGTGGCGGCCGACCCGAAAGCTCTACCGACCACAGCCAGCACCACACCCCAGCTGTCCGAAAGGCGTCGGAAAGCGACAACAACGGGTGGACTGCGGTGGAGAGCAAACACCATCACCATAGCAACCGCAAGCAGAGCGAGCCGAATACGGAAGCCAATACGGCGCTGCCCATGCGCGCGGAAGAGGTGGTCCACGTCACCACCCTCACCACCGAACAGATCACCTCTGTACGCTCAGCCGATCCCAACAGCCAGTATATGAGCAAGATGGTCGAGCGAGTGGAGAACATCTCCATAGCTCTCGAGACCAAGCCAGCCATGGCTGCGCCCTGGGCCGAGACCCGTGCCCATGGCACGCCCGGCGCAGGCGTGCACGCCGCACCGCCTGTCAGTCTACAGCAGACCATACAGCAGGAGAAGGACGAGCGCGAGCGCAAGGAGCAGCGGCGCTTGGCTGAGCTGGCCCACCTGGCGCAGGTGCAACAGGCCAAGCGAGCACAGACGGCCAAGGCCACAGCCGCGGCCACGGCTGCGGCGGTGAGTGTGCCTGTGGTGCCACAGAAGTCTCTGCGGGAGATTCAAGTGGAGGAGGAGTGGGTGAGAGAGGCTGAGCGCCAACAGCGCGCGGTGCAGATGCTGAGCAACGAGAAGCAGGGGCCCGCGCTGAGATGGGCGTCCGGGGCGTTGCTAGGCAACCCGAATGCCCCGACCGGGCCTTCGCTGGCGGATATTCAGGCGCAGGAACAGGTTGGTTGCTTGGGGTGCGAGATGTGTGTTTGTTTGTTTGTTTATATGGCATAGTATACACATCTATCTGTTAGGCTACTTAGTGCGAAGGGGTTATATGAGTATCTTGTATTGCTAAGTGGTACATATGTCGCTGCGGGACTCCTGCTGGCGGATATTCATGCGCAGAAGTAGATTGATTGCTTGTATTCTTGTATTTGTATCTGTATATCATGATGTGCCTTCGTCAACAGTTCTCCCCCTGCCACCCCATCCGCCTTTCGCTTGTGTATGTAAAGCGAGAGCATCTGTGTGAAAGTGATTGTTTGGATATGATTGTTGTCGTCGGTGGCCTATCTGATAGTCGCTGCCGGGGCCTGTCTCCACACAGGCTGGTGGGTTGTTTTACTCTGTGTGTGTCTGTCTGAAAGCCCATGTTGAAACGGGACGGAGTGTTCCCCATGTGACTGCTGGTGTGCATGCCTAGCATCAGTGGGCAGTGGCAGGTTGTCTCTGAGATGTGAAGTACACGCACTTGAATTGTAATGCGCATACTTCCTCTGCGATATATATATATATGTGTGTGTGTGTGTTTGGAGGTGCGTTTGTGATGCCATGTATACGCTCAGCCCAAGCTGATGCACTGCCCCGCACTTCTGCCGATGATTGGTGTGTTGTGCTGAGTCATGGGATGCAGCTATAGTGTATTTCTATGTAGTTTTGCGCTTTGTTTATGCGTAGTGTGTGTGTGTGTGTTGAGTGTATGCACTATCTGATCCCATCCTCGTCGCACCCCCGTTGTCAGGATTATACACGGTCTATTAACCTAGTTTTTCCCCACCCCACAGCAGGTTATGGAGGAGCGCAAAGCCAAGCAGAGCTCCGCCCAACACGACTTCACCACACCCCTGATCCGCAGCGGGTGGAAAAACAACACCCGCCCCACTGTACAAGCAGACACTGCTCTGGAGGCACCCAGGCCCCAGGAGAAGACTGTGCCGGCCGATGTCTCTGGGGCAGTATCAGACAATCTGTGGGATATGGTGGAAGCAGAGACCCACGACGACCTCGAACCCGAGACAGTGGTGGTGCAGAAGGCTATGTCCAAGGTGTGTATGTATTGTGAATGGAAGGTGCTATGTGTAAGTGTGTGGTGTGGGTGCACATGCGAGAGCTGGTGGAGTGTGTGTGTTGTGAATGAAAGGTGCTGTGTGTAAGTATGAGCGGGCATGTAGTTTCCTGCCGCGTGCGTTCTACGGAGTTTTCGAGGGTTTTTTATCGTCGTAACTGACTATGTTGGGTTTTAGGGTGTTTGGACTGTACCTGGTACTGATATTTAGACTATTACAGCCGGATACCCAGTGCCATGCGTCGTCGTAGTTGTAACTGTTGTGTTGCTATGGGTTGTCTCGTGTCTTACGTTGTGTACTCGACAGATAGTCAGCTGCCGCGTCCAAGACTATGTATTCCCATAGAACTGTAGTGTTTATCTGTAATGTTTATCTGTAGTGTTGAAGGAGAGGACTTGTTCTCAATTCACCCACTTCGATCTGTCGGCGAGGAAACGTTTGCGGATGAGATAGAGAGACTGTGGCGTCCTGTAGGAATGTACTCGCGGAAGGTAAATATATATATATATATTTGTGTGTGTGTCTGTTTCCATGTTAACATTTTGTTCTAACCCATTCACTTCAACCATTTCCAGTCGGAGAAGAAGCGTTTACGCAAAAAACAAAGAGATGCTGCGGCATCTGCTCCACAGAAGGTCGAAGCCGTTCCCGTTAAAACGAAGCCACTGAGTGCAGCACCTACCTTTGACGAACGCGTTGAGGACATTACTACACCCGCTGAACTGCGAGTGTGGGCCGAGGCGAACCTAGAGAAGCTCAACCCGGGTGGACTGGATGGTATGTAAGCTGTACGGTACAAGAGGAGGCGTCCTATTGGTCCGAGTGTACCCTGTGTGTGTGGTGTGTGGGTAGTGTGGGTAGTCTGTGCAGTGTGTGTAAACTAAGTTAGGTTGTTGTGGATAGTAACTAAGGTTGTAAAGATCGCGAGTTTGGGCCGAGACGACTTCAGCGAATCTCAGCCTGGTTGGCCTGAAAGCTATGTGAGTTGTAGTGAGGCTATCTTTAGTATGGATGGTGTATGTAGTATGTCGAGTGTTTGTGTGATGTGTGTAGTGAGTTTTTTAGTTATATATGGATTATATGTAGTATTTGCAGCAGCACACACACCCCGGTTACATGACACTGAACAACCCTGGTGCCGCTTGGTTCTAACCACTCCCACTCCCACTCCCACCGCACAGTGGCCACATTCGTGACGGTCGTTGACGACCTGCCCTCTCCGCCCAAGGTGATTGAGTTTATCCAGGACACTCTGGGCATGGACAACGAAGTACGTGACTTCTGCCAGGGCTACATCGCACGCAAGCAACACGTGTTTGTGCAGCAGAAGGAACGTGCACAGACCATGCCACCGCAGAGCAGCGGCGCACCCCCGCAGGGTGTGCGAGGCAATGCCCCACAGGTGGGTATGAACTATGTGACGGCCAAGATGCAGGGACCAAACTTCTCGGCTCCGTCCATGGCCTGGCCCGAGTTGCAGCCGTCGCCTGTTGCGCCTAAGGTATGTTTCGAGTGTCTGGTTTATGTTTACGTATATGTATGTATGTATATATATATATGTACAGATGTGTGTGTGTGTGTGTGTGTATGTATATGTACAGCTATAGCTAGATGGATAGACAGACAGATATTGATGGATGTATTGATTTATTAAATGGATTGATGGATAGTTAGATATCTTTGTATCTAGTGGAGGCGTGTATACATAGTGTTCACGCGTAAGCTAGGGTAGTGAGGGGAAAATTACCTGGTATCTGTATGGATGTTTTTAAATGATACTGGCTGGTTTGTTTGCAGTGGGACAACACGGGTGTGTGGGTTTTAGGGTTTCACTGTAAATATCATGAGCTGAATGTATTGTGTATACCACGGCGCATACGCTCGGGAGTGTGTTGCAAATAGTCTGGTGTTGCCATGCGACATAGTTGGTCTATCTTTGCACTCTCCATCTCACGAATGTCCTTAAGGTGTACCTACCACACCTCATGAGGAACAAATGGGTTCGTCCCGGTCCTGAAAACCCAGCCCCTCCACCCCACACCCTGCTCTGTACTCATATCGAGTGTGGCACCCTGTCCCTTATAGCAGGCAGTAGCGCCGCCGGCGATGACTCAGACCAAACAGAAAGCCGTTGCCAAGGCCATCGGCAAGAACGCCAATCCCGCCACACTGGCGACGACACAGGTGACCGCAACCAAGAAGAAGAAGAAGAGCAAGGGCCAGAAACTGGGCCCTGAGCTGCTGGGGTTCAGTGTGAAGGACACTGAGCGCATTAATGGGGGAGAGATACTCGACCCAGTCGCACTGGGTTTGTGAGCCGTGAGCAGTTGAGTGGAGTGGAGCTGCGCGGGAGAAGTATGAAGGACGTGACTTTGTTTAGTGTAGTATTAACTATGTGAATATACACATGGTGTAGTACGAACCAGGTGAACGTGCGGGTGGCCGTCGCCAGAAAGACGAGAACGACTATGCTCGGCACTTAGGCCTCGGCGTCTTCGGGTTTAGTGTAGAGACTCTCAAAGTAGTAAACGGTGGTGAGATGTTAGAGCCCAGACCCCAGTGTGACTGGGAGTGCGAGGCGTACTAACTAATGTTAAGTGAACTCAATACGATTATTTAAAAGTAGGCGGACAGTACTTGGTACAATAGGAACCAGGCGAAAATAAGAGGCCGTTTCCACGAAGGAGTGAATGGCAAAGGCCGAAAGTTGGGCTTTTTCCTTGAATGATTTCTGGTTGAGTGTGAGAGAGATTGCATCATATACCGGTGAGAGCCATCATATCTAGTCTTACTCAGACTGCGAGTCCAGTTATGCACAGGCTATTTTTAAATTTCTATTTTTAGATTTGGAAATCCATAGTGCACTTGAGGTATAATATACCAGGCGGGCGGTGCTCGTATCGCAGTCGAGGGATTTGAGAAAGAGTTATAGTTGAAACGTAACTGTAATGGGGACAGAGTACTAGGCCTAGGCACGTTAAGGTGTTCAGATAGATGATCCAGGTGCATGTGGACTGTTGAGCATATTAAAGGGCCATACCAAGACATCTGACTGAAAATCCTTGGGTCACACAGTCTTTACCTTAATGATCGTGCTAAATACTCACCCATGATATGTTGTGTTATGCCATACATCTCTACAAATGATCGTACTTATTATACGCCCATGATGTGTCAGTAATATGACAAACATCTCTATTATAATAATCGTGCTTATTATACGCCCCTGATATGATAGTATTGAGTAAAACATCTCTATATAATAATCGTGTTGATTATACGCCCATGATATGTTAGTGATAAGCCAAACATCTCTATTTTATCTATTGTATAATAAATGTGCTTATTATACACCCCTGATATGATAGTGATGAGAAAAACATCTATATTCTAATAATCGTGTTGATTATACCCCCCTGATATGCTAGTGGTAAGCCAAACATCTCTATTATAGTAATCGTGCTTATTATACGCCCCTGATTTGATAGTGATGAGAAAAATATCTCTATTATAATAATCGTGTTGATTATACGCCCATGATATGTTACTGATAAGACAAATATCTCTATTTATAATTATCGTGCTTAATATACGCCCATGATGTGATAGTGATAAGACAAACATATAATATAGTATTCATGCTCAGTATACGCCCATGATATGTTACTGATAAGACAAACATATATATTATAGTAATCGTGCTTATTATACGCCCGTGATAAGATAGTGATGGGACAAACATTTCTCTTCGATTGATTGTGTCGTGGTAAGCCATACATCTCTCTTCAAATGATCTTGTTTATTGTACGCCCATGATATGTTAGTGATAAGACAAACATCTCTATTGTAATAATCGTGTTGAATATACGCCCATGATGTGTCAGTGATATGACAAACATCTCTAATATAATAATCTTGCTCAATATACGCCCATGATATGTTTGTGATAAGCCATACATCTCTCTTCGAATTCTCGCGTCTAATATAAGCCTATGATATATCCGCGGTAAGCCATACATATCTCTTCAAATGATCCTGCTTATTGTACGCCCATACTATGATAGTGATAAGATAAACATATCTATCATAATAATCGTGTTGATTATACGCCCATGATGTGTTAGTGATAGGACAAACATCTCTATTTTAATAATCATGCTTATTATACGCCCACGATATGTTAGTGATAAGACAAACATCTCTAATATTATAATCTTACTCAATATTCGCCCATGATACGTTTGGGATAGGCCATACATCTCTCTTCGAATTGTCGTGTTTATTATAAGCCCATGATATTCGTGGCAAGCCATACATCTCTATTCAAATGATCGTGTTTATTGTACGCCCATGACAGGTTAGTGATAAAACAAACATCTCTATTGTAATAATCGTGTTCATTATACGCCCATGATGTGTTAGTGATAGGACAAACATCTCTATTATAATAATCATTCGTAATTTTCTCGCATAATATGTTAGTGATAAGACATACAACTCTACTATAATAATCGTGCTTATTATACGCCCATGATGTGTTGGTGATAAAACAGACATATCTAGTATAATAATCGTTTTGATTATACGCCCCTAATATGTTAGTGATACGACAAATATCTCCATTATGATAATTGTGCTTGTTATACGCCCACGATATGTCAGTCATAAGACAAACATCTTTATATGACTGATCGTGTTGTTTTTACGTCCCTGATATGTTAGTGATGTGACAAACATCTCTATTATAATAATCGTGCTTATTATACGCCTATGTTATGTTAATGATAAGACTAGTAATCGTGATCATTATACGCCCATGATATGTTAGTAATAAAACAAACATTTTCTATTTTATAATATTCGTGCTTATTATACCCCCTTGATGTGATAGTGATGAGAAAAACATCTCTAATAAAATAATCGTGTTGACTATACGCCCATGATATGTTAGTGACAGACAAACATCTCTATTTTATAATAATTGTGCTTATTATATGCCCCTGATATGATAGTGATGAGAGGGGTTATAGTAATCGTGTTGATTATAAACCCACGATATGTTAGTGATAAGGGAAACATTTCTATTATATAATAATAGTTTTTATAATACGCACATGATATGATAGTGACAAGACAAACATCTCTAATAAAATAGTCGTGCTCATTATGCGCCCATGATAAGTTAGTGACTAGACAAACATCTTTATTATAATGGTGCTTACTATATGACCATGATAGGTTAGTGATAAGACAGACATATCTATTATAATAATCGTGCTTATTATACGCCCATGATATATTAGTGATAAGACAAACATCTCTATTTCTTAATTTTCGTGTTTATTTTACACTAATGATGTGACAGTGATGAGACAAACATCTCTAATAAAATAATCGTGCTTATTATACGCCCAGTATATGTTAGTGATAAGGCAAACATCTCCATTATAGTTATCGTGTTGATTATACGCCCGTGATATGTTAGTGATAAGACAAACATCTCTATTTTATAATAATCGTGTTTTTATACGCCTATGACATGTTAGTGATGAGACAAACATCTCTATTATAATAATCGTACATATTATACGCCCATACTTTGCTAGTGATAAGACAAACATCTCTATTATTATAATCGTGTTGGTTATACGCCCCTGATATTTTAATAATAAAACAAGCATCTCTAATATAATAATAGTGCTTATTATACGCCCATGACATGCTAGTGATAAGACAAACATCTTTATTATATTAATCGTGTTGATTATACGCCCCTGATATGTTAGTGACAAGACAAACATCTCTATTTTATAATAAACGTGTTTATTATACGCCCATACTATGCTAGTGATAAGACAAACATCTATATTAGAATAATCGTGCTCAGTATACGCCCATGATATGTTTGTGATAAGACAAACATCTCTATTATAATCGTGTTGATTATTCGTCCCTAACATATTAGTGATAAGACAAACATCCCTACTATAATGATCGTGCTTATTATACGCCCATGATATGTTAGTGATAAGACAAACTCTCTATTATAATAATCGTGTTGATGTTTTAGTGTTCATTATACGCCGCTGATATGTTGTGATATGCCATACATTTCTATTATAATAATCGTGCTCAGTATATGCCTATGATATGTTACTGATACGACAAACATATCTATTATAACGATCGTGTTTATCATACGCCCCTGATATGTTAGTGATACGACAAATATCTCTACCTTAATAATCGTGTTTATTATACGCCACTGATATGTTGTGATATGCCATACATCTCTATTCGAATTCTCGTGTTTATTATACGCCCATGATATGCTAGTGATAAGCCATGTAGTTAATATGAAGTGCAAGGTTTTTCGGCAGCAATAGAAAGAACTGGAGTTGAATTTGCCTCGAGATTTACATCCGGCAATGGTGCACGTAGCAACGCCTTTAAGCTCACTTTGGCGAGTCTCGTGGACAGTAGTGTCTCCTGCCTACTTGCAGTCGCCACCGCTTTGAACCCTGTATCTCCATATCCGAATCAGGTACGTGGGTTGTTTCTGAACGTCTAAGTTTTGCTCCACTAGATCGTCGATCACTGGTGCGTGTATTTTCGGCCGAATTTGCGCTGGTACGAGACCGTGTGTTGTGCATGTGAGGAGTTTAGAACCCGCTGTGGGTACAATCGCATCACTCGCCAGTGGTTCAATGTTTGCAACGTACATATCAACCAGCGCTGCACGCAGTGTATACAGAACACGCGCACACTCACGCTATCATTCTCCGCGTCAATGTCACCCGCCTCTATCCACTCCCGCACTGTGTACCTCAAGTACATGTTTGCACACAAATCCTCCACGTTCACATTAAGGCCCAGTACAGAAATGTCGTCGTTGTCCGCGTCCGTATAAATACCTATCGCCACGTATTTGCTATTAAGTCTACACATACTATCTGAATGTGGGCATGTACTTGCCATTATTACACGTGCGCGTAAGTGCCTCGCTAATTGTAAACTGTTTGACAATAAGTGCACGGATGACTAGTTTTTGGACACGATCGCAACATACATGAGCGTCGACACGCTTGTGTCGGCGTACAGCACAAACACGCACAACCTCGGCTGTTTTAACATCGGTTTTAGGATTTTCAGAAGAGTACCAGGCCAAGTTTGTGGACCACTTGGCCGGTTTGTTCAAGTGTCTGACGTTTTCGTTCAGTATTGATGGTGCGCTGAGCGGGCTGTCACTGGACGACCTGAGGTAAGGTGTATTTAACAATCCACTGACCGCCAAAGGTAGCGATAAACAGGATGTATACTATACGAAACTGAAATTTGCAGAGCGAAATAAGACGAGGCCGAGCGGCGGCGAGTTTCCGAACAATATTAAGAAGCCGTTTGGGTAAACACGCACCCTGAACGGGTCAAAAGTACAATGTACAGACAGTACGTGTTTGCGAACCAGCAGAGCGGAGACCCGACCTATGATAATGCCGTCAAGGCCGTGATGCAGACATAATACGTTTCACACGTGTGATAAAATAGCCGAGTACGTCATTAAATGAGGAGAAGACGCGTTTGCGACGTTTGTTTACAAGATTCAAGTTATGGCCCAAGACAAGTGCGAGACCGGCCACAAGTCCACCAAGCACTGGACGATGTCAAAGACGCAAAATATGGTAACGTTCTCCGTAATGACATACACGCAGAGGACAGCGACGGCTGTGAAGACCCAAGTCAGTGATGTGCGCAATGGAAACTAAATCATGTGGTGGACGGAGGACTTGGAGACGAAAATGATGCGGGCGGCGTACGGTGACACGCGCACGTACAAACCTTACGATCTCCAACGGCACTCGGAGCTCCGAGAAGAAATTGTTCTATGTCCTGCGGCAATAAAAACAAGGAAATCTGGCGACCGGTCGCCAGCAATGTTGCTGGAAATGCGTCATGTCGGCTGGTATACGGCCAGACCAACCGGTCAAAGACGATATTTCACTCGTCGAGTTGGCAAAGGTTTGTGACAAGTGGGTACAGGTCAGTATCATGATCTACTTTCACGAAAAAGCCGGGTACATGAAATTCCGGATCGCAGACGCGAATACGGGTGCCATATTGGGTGAAAAGAAACTAAATGACTCGTGGAAAAAAGCTGATGCGAATTCCGAGATTCGCACTGGACAGTATCGGCGATTCCAGTCCGACTACACCGGAAAAGAATGAGCACGTTTGTTGGTAACATATACGCGTATGACTACGATGCCCTCTTGACTTCACCCAAAAAGTGCCAATGCCGCACACGCACACGTACGCGTCTAGACATGACTCAGCAAAAGAACAGTGTGTGGCAAAAAAATATAACCGTCCAACTTGTGTTTTTCGTGGTCATATATTTATGTGTATATGTATACATGTAGGTTGCTCGTGCACGCGGTGCTATGTCGTCGCCTTCTCACCATCCCAGTTTCCGACACGATGCCCTTATGGACGTCTTGAACGCCTTCCGACCATCCTTGAACACCTTCTTGGTCTTTTATTACCGCCGAAGTGATGTGATGATAGTGGTGTGGACACGGAACTGTGCGTGTTCTCAAACACGCGTCCTAGAACACTCTTGGTTCCAAATAGCAGTGAAACGATCTCGAGCAAAATGATGGCATGGTTAATCATCACTACAATCTTTGAAAAATTGGTCTTGGGCGAAAAGTCGCCGAACCCCACGGTGCTCATGATGGTAGTCGAGAAGTACCACGCGTCAATGTTGGCCAAGAACCCAAAGTCGTCCTTGTCCATAAATGCATATGTTGCCCCGAAAAAGATTTATCACAAATGGTGAGAGGAACAGTTTTTTTTTTTGGGATCTGTTCTCGCCCGTCTCAAGCCGTTTCTGTTCTTGAAGAAAACAAAGGTTAGCGAAGCAGCAGCTCGTCAAAAATCTTCATTCGCGCGTCGACCTGTTGTCGGGTCACCATGGCCATATTTTTTCTGCGTTGTCCTTGACAATTTCCCGCGGCTCGTCGATCCGGACCGTAATTTTGCCAATTGCCGACCGATCAGCCGCTGCTGACTAAGCTAAACAAACCGACCCCACATATCGGTCTTAGGTAACAATCGTGCCCGTTTAGTCAGCTTAAGAAGGATTGTTTGCCACACAGCCAGGTCAATGGCGCTCGTAAATTGTTCTTTGTATGTGTGTGTAAATATCTTGTCACCCATTTACGAGGTATTTATATAGTTAAATGTATATGAATTAATTTATCTTGACAATTCACCATGAATGTAAATATATATATATATATGTACAGCATATGTATGTGCAAGTATCTGGAAACACTACTACCTTGCAATTTGCAGATAGATTAGTACGCAAACCACCTCATGACAATCTATTTAACCACTTGTAAATGCAATGTTAGGATACCCTAAGACAGCATAACACACACACACACACCATCTCACCCCCTTATTAGACACCTCGGCGCGACCAATCTCTAGATCCGTTCTAACAGGAGTATGCATATACGTCCGTTCATATAGGTGTGTGTGTACGTATTCAATATAAGTCCGCTCTTATAGGTGTGTGTGTACGTATTCAATATACGTCCGTTCTTATAGGTGTGTGTGTACGTATTCAATATACGTTCGTTCTTATAGGTGTGTGTGTACATATTCAATATGTCCGTTCTTATAGGTGCGTGTGTACGTATTCAATATACGTCCGTTCTTATAGGTGTGTGTGTACGTATTCAATATACGTCCGTTCTTATAGATTTATGTGTACGTATTCAATGTACGTCCGTTCTTATAGGTGTGTGTGTACGTATTCATTCCCGTACATGCAACACTCACATATACATTACATAAACGGTACCATTCACAACTCTTGGACAACCGATTCATGTAAGCTTAGTGTGAGAATGGCATGTACGAGGCCATAGTACATACACGTGCACTGTATACAGAACATACACGTGCACTGTATACAACCTATTCTCCACACACCTTGGATCACATATAGAAGGTGCAGCGCTGTCCAACTACAGTTGGAGCGATACTAGCCACAGTGTGCATGAGCCTGCAGGCCTAAAACCTTAAACCACCAAAACCCTAAACTCTAAATCCTAAAACCCCTATGGGCCCACAAGCCGGCGCATAGCCGAACCACAAACAATACGGACAATGATAGCATCGATACATCGCAACCACATGCTCAAACATCCGAGAGACTTTAAGCAGACACAGGCGGACGTACATACCAGCAACGCACCGCGCATATATCCCTCCCAGACTGTGACCCACCAACGACAGCTTCACATTCGCTGCTGACTTATACTGATCCAATACTACAGGTACATACGGGATAAAACGTTAGTAGTGTAATCTAGTTATTGTATTAAACGTATATGGTTCCGGGGTGTACATATGGTTCATTGGGCTGCAAACAAGACTGGTTGTATAGGTAAGTACTCATCGTGTTGCTATATGATGGTATCTGTAGAATAGCTCAACTACTAGTTTATGCTTTAGAGAGGAACTTCATGACATACAAAGGCAACTATACAATA